TTTTGAAGATCAAATACAACACAGAGCAGGTACTTGATTAATGATTACTGAATACTGTTTAAGTATGCATTATGACCAACACCCAAATATCATCATAGCAGACAGTTGTGCTGAGAGCTTCCCAATGGCCTATGTACAGCTTCTTATTTTGCACCTAATGCATGAAATATAATGTATTATATAAAGATACCCAGGGAATCTGGAAGTTTCTTTTAAGATTGGGAATTATGTAAGGAGCTTTCTCATGTTTTTCTTTCTCCCTCTTGCAAGTCTTGGCTCATTTTAAAATAATTTCTCATTATCTGCTTTCCTCTTAAAATAAAGAAAAGAAAAAGAATCAAGTAAAGCTGCTTTTGTCCTTTGAACTCAGACTTCTAGTGTCCAAAATTGTAAGAGAATAAACTCCTGTTTGTTCAAGCAAAAAAAAAAAAAAAGCTGTTTTTGTTTAAGTGGCTGTGGATCACGTGAAGTGTTGAACACCCTGCTGTTGAAGCAATACCAGCGCCAAATCAAGGTTTGTGTACAGCTATCGTGGGGAATTGCAGGCTATTGCAGGTTGGGAAAAGATTGCAAATGACACAAGACAATGCAATGTCTACCTCATTGCTTAGCATTGAGATATGTTTCTCTTAAGGATGTGTCCCCAGAGTTGGATACTACCTTCTACTTGAGAACTCTCCTCCCAGCCCACTCCCATCTCCTAAAACTGAGAACGACTATTTTCTGTCTCGATACTTGATCTTGTACATAATCATAACAGCTGTTTTTAAACCAAAAACCAAACTCATTGCCGTTGAGTCAGTTCTGCCTCATAGCAGCTCCTCCCTGGGTTTCTGAGGCAGTATCTCTACTGAAGTAAATTGCCCAATCTTCCTTCCAATGAGTGGCTGGTGGGTTTGAACCACTAGCTAGCCTTCTGGTTAGCAGTCAAATGCCTTAGGCACTGGTTTTGCATGATCTCTTTTGCCAGGTAGTTATGACTATTATTTTCATTTTATAGGCAAGGAAACAGACTAAGAAATTAAAGAACTTGAAGTAGACACATGAAAGAGAGCTATAGAAAATGAGATTTGAACCCAGGTCTGCCTTCCCAATCTGGGCTTTAAGGTTTTCTCCCCACTGTGTTGAATCCTCTGCCTGCTATGATCATTACAGCTTGTTTTTTTGGGGAATCCTCCATCCTTTGACCCTCTGGGGTTCATATTGCTTCTTTCCTTCCTAAAGGCTGAAGATTCCTTCCCTTGCCTCCCAAACCCACTCTGGTAGCTGTTAAGTCCTATTTTCTCTCCAGCCTTATCCCCTACTAGCTTGCACAGATTTACAAGCACATTAGGGAAGCACTTTGGATCCCCAGACAGATCAGGAATGAGGAGGTGTCCAAGATTTATAAGAGACAGTGATGGAAGCCAAAAGTCTCCAGAGCTGAGTCTAAGTATGAGTCTTTCTACTCTTTTACCCCACCATGTGGCTGACTTAACTCAAGTGGCTCAGAGAGATCCCTAGTCTGGGACTTTGATGACCTTGATTCCAGTCTCAGGTTAAAACCTGGTGACTATGGGCCTCAGTTTCTTCCTCTAACAAATGAAGGTAATTTCAGCTTTGTTCATATTGCATTCATGACCCAGAGAATTCTTTAGCAACCTTGTGCCACACTCAGATGATGGTGGGGTTTGAGAACCTGAAGGGCTGGGAGGAAGGGCATTAGCTATGTTACCAAGGATCTGCTGAATGGCCCAACAAAGAACCAGGAACTTCCAATTCCCTTGGAAGTTCTGGGAACTCCTACCCTCTCTCAGGGGAGTGTAAGGGTGGCCTCCTCTACTGAGTACTATTTTCTTCATCACAGTGCAGTGTAATTATCTATCTACTTGTTTCTCATTAATGAGCTCTGGTGGCACTTGACTGCTAGCTGGATAAGGCACTTGACTGCTAACTGGATAAGGCACTTGACTGCTACTGGGAGGTCAGTAGTTCAAACCCACGAGCTGCTGTGCGGAAGGGAGACTGGGTGATCTACTTCCGTAAAGATTTACAGCCTCGGAAACCCAATGAGGGTCGTTATGAGTTGGAAATGACTCGATGGCAGTGAGGTTTTTCTTTGTTTTGTTTCCCATTTGTTCTTATGAATTTTTTAAATTTTTAAGTACTGAGATTTCAGCTCTAAGAAGGAAGGTTGTTTTTTTTTTTTTTTTTTTTTAAAGAACAAAGACTGCATCTTATTTACCTTACTCACTGCTATTTACAAGCCATCATACTGCACCTGGAAAATGGAGCCTCCAGCTTCCACCATTGTCCTCCCACTATCTACTTTCAGCACAGCAGCCAGAGTGGTCTTTTGAAAGCATAAATCAGATCATATCAATCCTCTGCTCAAAGCTGTTTCACCCAAGATCCTTAAAATGGTCTACATGGCCCACTCTCTGACTTTATCTCCCCACTCATCTCCATTTGCTCACTCTTCTCTAGCTATCTTGGCCTCCTCACTATGTTTTTAAAATAGTTCCAGGAATGCTTTTGCCTTAGGGCCTTTCCACTAGCTGTTCCCTTTGTCTGGGACATTCTTCCTCAGATTAACTGCCTGGTTTACTTCCTCATTTCTCTTGAAAAATTTTTTTATTGTGATTTGGGTGAAACTTTACAAATTCATTTTCCATACAGAAGTTCATAACACATTTTGTCTCATGATGTTGACTACAATTTCCCACAACCTAACAGCTCTCTTCCCACTTCCTCTCCATAGTTACCTCTACCCTGTTCACTTCCTCATCTCTTTAAGCTCTCTGGTTAAAGTACCACTATAAATGGAGCTATCCCTGGTGGCTCTATTAAAAGTTGTAAGTCCTCTTCTTCCCTTTCCTCCAATATTCCTCATACTCCTTATCCTGGTCTGCTTTTTCCCATCGCACCAAACACCTTCTAACATACTAAATAACTTCCTCATTATGTTTATCATCTTTCTCCCAGTACTGAGATTATAGTTCTAAGAAGGAAGGGATTTTTTTCCCCTTTCTATCTGCTAACCAGAAGGCTGGCAGTTCAAACCCACCAGCCACTCCTTAGAAGGAGGATGGGGCAATCTACTTCCATAGTGATACTGCCTCAGAAACCCAAGGAGGGGTCGCTATGAGTCGGGTCTGACTCAGCACATAACAACAACAACATCCACTGAACGGAGCTTCGGTGATTCAATTGTTAATGCGTTTCACACTAACCAAAAGGTCCGTGGGTCAACCCACCCACTGCAGAAGAAAAATGAGACAGGCTGCTTCCAGAAAGAGTACAGCCTTGGGTACCCTGTGAGGGTAGCTATGAGTTGGAATACACTGGATGGCAGTGAGTTTGTTTTTCTGTCAGTTCACTGATACCCCAAGTAGTAAAAGTTTCTGGCAACTTTAGTAATGAAGGCATCTTTATCTTTAGACTTCCTAGAGCCTTGACTGCTAACCAGAAGGCTGGCGGTTCAAACCCACCAGCCACTCCTCGGAAGGAAGGTTGGGCAATCTTACTTCCGTAGTGATACTGCCTCGGAAACCCAAGGAGGGGTCGCTATGAGTCGGGGCCGACTCTACAGCAAATAACAACAACAAGAAGAGCCTTATATAGGAGCTCTGGTACTGTAGTCCCTAAGCTACTTGACTGCTAAGGGGAAGGCTGGCAGTTCAAAGCCACCAGCCACTCCTCGGAATAAAGGTTAGGCAAGGAGGGGTCGCTGAGTTCGGTGGACTCCATGGCACATAACAACAACAACAATACAGTGTTATATAGAGAAGGCACATGTGAGTACTTTGACTTCCCAGCACCCAGTAATATTTGGCAAATGGTACATGCCCAGGAATTTGCTGAAGGAATTGGGTACTCATTTTTAGGACTCAAGGTTTTTAATTAATCCCTTTGAGGCTATGTCAAAAAAGTTCCCAGGACCAGTTCATTCAGTCCTCTCCTGTTCCTCTCATCCAACCAAATAGTCATCTAACAAATATTAAGCACCCTACTGTGTAGGAGCTCGAGTGTGGTATCTAAGGCACTTGACTGCTAACCAGAAGGTTCACGGTTCAAATCCACCAGCCACTCCTTGAAGGTTGGGCAATCTACTTCCGTAGTGATACCGCCTCAGAAACCCAAGGAGAGGTCGCTATGAGTGGAAATCCAGTCCACGGCAATTTTTTTTTTTTTTTTATTACTGTGTTCAAAACTGTGCTTGGTGTGGTAGAGGGATATATGACTAACGCGATGAATCAACAGAAACAATACCTCGGAATGTAAGTAAGTGTGAAATTACCGGGTAGATTATCACTGTTAATAATTTAGAGGAAGACAATCAGTTTAGACTGATGTAGACTTAAATTCCAAAGTTCACAAGTTGCCTGAACCATCCTAATAAACTGTCGATAGCACAACAACCTGGGCAGCTAACTTGAGAATCAAAAAGTCTTTTCTAAAGTTCCAACTCCTTTGCTATAAGGGAAAGAAAAGTTAGGCTAAGCACAGGAAAAACCCTGGCAGAGATGGGACTCCTGAAGTTCTGACAGGAATGGTGTTCTAAAGGTCCAAAGCGCCTTTGTTGGGGGCTGGTGTAGAGGAAGGGGTCCGGTTTCCTGGAGGGCTTAAAGTGGCTGGAGGGAGAAGGGGGAGAAGGAGAGGAACGCAAAGTCAAGAGGCGCCATTCCTTCAGGGCATTAGGCGAGCCTGCGTAGCCTGAGGTAAGTCCAAGGTCGCAGATTCTTGCTATCCTCAATTACCGAGCTGCCTCCGCAAACGCCACTCCCCAGACCCCACCCTGAGACGCAGCCAAGCGGCTAGATGCCGTCTGCGGCTTGGAGGCGCAACCCAGGGAATCCCAGGGCACTACTTGCCCCAGCGGAGCAATCCGCGCGCGTCTCCATAGTCGTGACCGCGGAAGGGCTGTGACGGCGCCGACGCACGGCTGGTGGCGCAGCGACGTCGCGGGAGGCGGGGACGGGAGGGGGAATCGGGTCGGGAAGTAGTTCCGGGTGCGCGGCCCCGGATGTTGGCTGCTCCCGCTGCTGCTGCCGCTCTCGGCGCTGCTCGGGGCCTCGGCAGCTCGCACCAGGCACCGTTGGGACTTTTCCCGGGGGCGGAGACGCACGCAGCGGCCGGGGGCTCGGCCGGGCCAGCCCGGCCTGCGCAGCCTGAGGTGAGCGCCCGCAGCTGGGGCGGCCGGGCCGGGACGGCGGTCGAGGAGGCGGGGCTGGGGCATCTCCCGGGACGGAGGAAGGGGGCTGCCCTCCGCGAGACGCCCTATGCCTTTTCAGCCTCGGCTGCGCTGCGAGGCGGAGGCGGGCGGGGCAGGGGTCCGGGCCCGAGCTTGGGCCTGACGGGCGGCGAGGGCTGGGTCCCTCCCTCCCCCGCGGCGTTTCTCCTCAGCTGCTGCTGCCCCTCAGCCGGGAAGCAGCAGCTCCGAGCCTACCGCCCCTCCCCCAGACGCGGCCCCGGGAAGGCAGATGTGGTTACCGGGGGCGCAGAGTCTCAGAGCAGCGACCGTCTTCTTTCCGTGACCTACTCCTTTGGCCTGGGCTAGTGTCCGACCCGGCCAGCTTGCAGTCTCTCCTCAAGCCTAGAGGCGCTTTTCGGCCGGCCGGGCGGACTGTGCCTAGTGCCTCGGGGGTTCCCATGGGGGTGAGGGGGCCCGTGCGAGGGACTGCGTTCCAGCCTATTCCTGTCACTATGCCCTTTGTAAGCATTAGGGCAAAGGCAACCGTTCGGTGCGGACGTGTTGCTGTCCTGTGTGTATTGCATCCTGCCCACGTGGTAGGCCCCCCCTCCCCATTTTTGCAGCTAGTGAGGAGGGAGGTTAATTGGGCGGTTTTTCCTCTGATTTCCTGCGGGTGCTTTGGAAGGTGTTAGGGTCAGTTTGTTTTGTCCAGGCCAACTGTTGGTGAGATGGAATAAGGAAGAGTTGTACTCTTTGAAATTGAGACCAGTAGGGGACATAACAGGGTTTAGTTTCGTGGACATCTTTTCCCCTTCCTTGAGCTGCTCTTTTTTTTTTCTTTCTCTCTACTGTTTAATCCTAAAGAGAGAATTGGCGCTTGCTACCGGTGCGTGGAGGTATATATAGTTTTCACTTACCCGTTTTACTTTTTGTGTTTGATTGGTAAAGGTTTTTCAGTCTTGTATTGTGCAGTCCACGTCTGTTGGAATCTTAGTTGGATTCCTGAATGAGCTGATTTAGGCTGGACTGAGGGTTGGAGATTGGTGGGCATCTTTTTTGTCTTCATTTTTTCCATCTAGTTAGTAGTTTTGCAGGGAAAAAAGCATACATGGTCTTCGGAGTGTTACATACATACTCTTCTTGTAGGGCAGCTCTAGATAGTTTGACTTAGTCACTTCATAGCAGGACTTTTATTTCACTTTTTCTCTTTTTATTAAGGAGGTCTGGTGGGTTTCTTTATTAAGGATCATTGCACTCTGTGTTTTTGTAACTGGTTTTGAAACATGTATTTTGAGTAGTTTCTTTCTTTCATTAATGTCTCTTCCAGGAAAAGATTTCCATCTTCCTGTTTTTTGCTCTTTTGTGACAACACATTGCTTCTTTAACAGGGAACAGGCCACAGTAGCAGTGAGAGAAGCCTTTATTCTTACTACTGTTAGGTGCTTCTAGTCTGTTCTGACTCACAGTGATCCTGTGTACAGCAGAATGAAACACTGCTGAGTCCTGCACCATCCTTACAATTATTGCCATGTTTGAGTCCATTGTTGCAGACATCGTGTCAGTCCATCTTCTTAAGGGTCTTTGTTATATGTGACCCTCTACTTTATCAAGCGCTATATCCTTCTTCAGGGACTGGTCATTCCTGATAACATGGCCAAAGTACATGAGATGAAGTTTCAATCCTTGCTTCTAAGGAGCATTCTGGCTGTATTTCTTTTCTTCTGACAGTCCATGGTATATTCATTATTTTTTTTGCCAACACCATGATTCAAAATCATCAGTACTTCTTAAGTCTTCCTTATTCATTTTCCAGCTTTCACATGCATATGAGGTGAGTGAGAAGGCCATGGCTTGGGTCAGGGACACCTTAGTCTTCTAAGTGACATCTTTGCTTTTTTAACACTTTAAAGAGCCTTTTGCAGCAGATTTGCCCACTTCCTCCGTGGGCATCATTTGTGTCTTCGTAGTACTTGTATGGAACGGCAGTAAGTAACTCTTTTCCCTTTTTGTATTTGGGTGGTATATATAGAGGTGATTGAACTTCTTAGTTTCTTAAATAAACCGGAAGATATTTCTTTTCTTTGTGGTTTTTGTGTCTCTTAGAGTTGAGAAAAATCTTGTTCTTGGTTTTGTGCTGATGACATACTGGAGAATTTCTCATGATTTTGTTAGATATCTCTTGGATGGCACCAGGACATGTTTATTTTGGCTCTTTTCAGTTCATTGGTTTGGAAGAACTTAAGTAATCTTACTGTTTTGAGGAGCTCTGGTAGCATAGTGCCTAAGGCACTTGACTGCTAACCAGAAGGCTGGCGGTTCAAACCCACCAGCCACTCCTTGGAAGGAAGGTTGGGCAATCTACTTCCATAATGATACTGCCTCAGAAACCCAAGGAGTGGTTGCTATGAGTCGAGTCTGACTCGAGGGCACATAACAACAACTGTTTTGAGGAGCACTGCTGGCGTAGTGCCTAAGGCATTTGACTGCTAACCAGAAGGCTGGTGGCTCAAACCCACCAGCCACCCCTCGGAAGGAAGACTGGGCAATCTCCTTCTGTAGAGATACCGCCACGGAAACCCAAGAGAGGTTGTTATGAGTTGGAACCCACTCGATGGCAGTGAGGTTTTTTTGTCTTTTTTTATTCCTACTGTTTTGAGGTCACTTTTTAGATTCCAGAATGGCCAGTGTTCTCACTTTTTCTTGATTTGCTTTTTGCATTGTATATTTTGACATTGTACTTTCCTTTTACCTGGTGCAATTAGTAAATTCAGGATTGTTGAAGTAGTATTGATGGAGGATATTTCAAGGATAGATTTAGTTTGATACATTACCACACTGTTCTAAGAAAGGGAGTAAGATGATGCATATTATTCCTTAGGAAGGTATTTGTATCATCCGAGTATAGAGGGAGTGGAGAGACTGACTGGAATGCTCTTGGGGAATTTTAGGAATATGATGATGGTCTGACATAAGATAGTAATGTGGGAATAAAAGAAGAGCTACAATGAGTGTTTACTGTGTGCCAGGCATAGTCTTCATCTCTTTAAATCTTCATAATAATTTATTGTCATTTTTACGAAGAAACTGAGTTAAGTAGTGTAACTTGCCCAAAGTCCCACAGAGAAGAAGCAGCAGAGTCAGGATTTAAACCCAGACTATCTGCCTCTGACCCTATGCATTTGAACCATTATCTTGTATTGTCATAAGAAAGAGTATCACATATATAAAGAAAGGTATGTGTGAGTAAATACTAATTTGAACTGAGTGTTGGATGAGTGTGGGACAAAAGAAAGAAAGCAAATAAAACACTAAAAAATTAAAGCCTAGAATCCTGGGAGAATGGCTGAGGCAGTGGTAATGGTGAGGAAATTAGGAAGGCATCACTGTGAAAATGAGCTACAGTTGGTTATGGTCAGCTCTGGTGGCGTAGTGCCTAAGGTATTTGATTGCTGAGTAGAAGGCTGGTGGTTCAAACCTACCAGCCACTCCTTGGAAGGAAGTTTGGGCAATCTATTTCTGTAGAGATACCACCTCGGAAACCCAAGGAGGGGGTCGCTGTGAGTCGAATTCGACTCCACAGCAGTGAGTTTTTTGGGATTAGATTTTGTACAACTAATTTTTAAATACCAGGCCAGACTTGCCCTGTCAGTCACTGTGCTCCTGATAGCCTTCTGTCCATTGCTGGCTTGACTCTGGAGCTCTGGTGGTGTAATGCCTGAGACATTTGACTACTAACCAGGAGGTTGGCGGTTCAAACCCACCAGCCACTCCATGAAAGGAAGACTGGGTAATCTACTTCTGTAAAGATTTACTACCTTGGAAACCCAATGGGGGTCGCTGTGAGTTGGAATCGACTACATGCAGTGAGTTTGGGTTTTTGGTTTAGTATTAATCTAAGCAAAATAATTAGAAAAAGAGAACTGATGAGAAGATAAGAATGTATGGTGCATTCTAAAGCCACATAGAAATGACATAAACCAAACAAAACCAAACGCACTGCCATCAAGTCTGTTCGACTCATAGCAACCCCTTCTTGGGTCTCCAAGGTGGTATCTCTATGGAAGTAGATTGCCCAGTCTTCCTCCCAAGGAGTGGCTGCTGAATTTGAACTGCCAGCCTTCTGGTTAGCAGGCAAATGCCTTAGGCACTGTGTCACGAGAGCCTCCTTAGAAATGGCATCAAAAAAACAAACTCACTGTTGGCAAGTCGGATTACGACTCATAGTGACCCCTCCTAGGATTTCCAAGGCACCATCTCTACGGAAGTAGATTGCCCAGTCTTTCTTGTGAGGAGTGGCTGGTGGATTTGAACTGCTAGCCTTCTGGTTAGCAGTCAAGTGTCTTAGGCACTATACCGCCAGATCTCCTAGAAATGGCATGTTGTTGATGTTATGTGCCGTCAAGTCAGACCTGACTCATAGCGACCCCTCCTTGGGTTTCCGAGGCAGTATCACTACGGAAGTAGATTGCCCAACCTTCCTTCCAAGGAGTGGCTGGTGGTTTTGAACTGCTAGCCTTCTGATTACCAGTCAAGTGCCTTAGGCACTACGCTACCAGAGAAATGGCATAGGGATTAATTTATTTTGGTTGAGGCACACCACTGCTTTCCAGCCTTAGTGAAGGCAATCAAGAATTGGCTAGAGTAGGATTGAAGTACTTGGGGTCTATCGTAATAGGATGAATGTTGTTGTTGTTGTTATGTGCCGTCGAGTCGGCCCCGACTCATAGCGACCCCTCCTTGGGTTTTCGAGGCAGTATCACTACGGAAGTAGGATTGCCCAACCTTCCTTCCGAGGAGTGGCTGGTGGGTTTGAACCGCCAGCCGTCTGGTTAGCAGGCAAGTGACTTAGCCACTATGCTACCAGAGCTCCTAATAGGATGAATAGTCAGAGATAAAATGTAGATTGTGCACTGACCAAGGATATAAAGAAACAGACTCACTGTGGTCAAGTTGATTGCGACTCATAGTGACCCCTCCTTGGG